TGTACATCTATAAATTGTAAAGAATTCTTATAAATAATACAAAAGAGAGAGTATTATTCAGAAAATCTTCTCTTTTCTAATTGTGGGATACCGTCATCTCGCTTGCCAACCGTGCCATGCAGCTAGCAATCCGCTTCATCGCATTTCACAACGAGCAATTGATTAAGAAAACCTCGTTTGGGTTTGGTTGGTGATGCTCGTTGGGAATGCGAGGAAGCAGATTTCCATCTGGGTTAAGGGTGACCCGTTCCATTTTGGGAGCTCTAACCCGTGGGTTGACGCAATCTCAAAGAAGGTGAAGGAGAATGTCTCAAGAAGGGAGGCTCAGTTGGCACGGGATGTTGTCCCATTTAACTTTTTGACACCTTTAAGGATTATTAGGGACACTATTTTGGGGTTCGGAAGCCCTGCTCCAGTGTTGGTTTCGAAAGGGGCGAGTACCGTGGATGTTGGAAGGTCTGTGCTGGTTCACACAGAGCCACGGACTACGTTGGATGCAGGGACTAGGAGACCCATGGGAGTGGGTTTGCTTTATTGCTTTGCGATTGCAATTGAAGTAGACTCTGGATTTGGATTCAGTGTCTTCAACCTCCATGGCACTGAACTGAATCCAAATCCAGAGCCTCCTCCAATTGCAAAATACTCTTGCTGTTAGAAAAAAAAAAAAACTGCAAAATACTCTTTTATTTGCTTCGTAAATAAGCTTCCCATTCCGTTTCCACTTACATGTTGTTTACCATTCTAAGATTCATTTTATCAATGTCCCAAAATTCACATCATTGAAACAATTTCTAGTTTCAGGCTGCGGGCTACAGTGCTGATATTATAAGAGCCCATTTTCCCAAGTCCCCTGTCTCACAAATGTTGAATCTCCTTGCTGATTTATAAAGATTGGAAATAATCATCCAAAGGATACAGCTAGTATGCCCATTACCTTTACACTCTTGGTCTTTGTGTTTTGAAGAAAATTCCTTAGTAAGTTTCTAAATATTTGGCCCGAAATGAATTTCTAGTAAATGGCTAAATGTCAAGAAAAGCTTGAGTTTTGTTGGATTAGTTTTTATATTTCATTTCCAGATGTTTTGTTGGATCTGCTGAGGATGAGACATATGATCAACTAAGTACTGGAGAATATACCTGTTGGGCCTGTCATTGTTGGAAACTACTGTTTTGTATTACAGGAAAGCTTTACTTAATCTTTCCTTGATTTGGTTCCTTATGCTGCATTTATCATTTGTGCATTGATTTGGTTCCTTATGCTGCATTTATCATTTGTGCATTGATTTGGTTCCTTATGCCGCATTTATCATTTGTGCATTTGTGCTTAATTCTGGTCTGCCTTCGGTTGGAGATGTTGCAGGCAGACCCACCAGATCCAGTCGAGACTCGTGAAGAAGATAGCATTGGTGTGAAGGTGCTTCACTTGACTTGTTCGTATCTGGGTCAAGAATTTGTCCAAGTGGGATACCATGTTAACATTGATTATGATCTTTTTGAAATTTTTTTAAATTAGTCCCCAAATTTTGTATTTTAAGAATTTCATCCTTAAATTTATTTTTGGTTTTAAGGTTAAAGGTGGTGTCGCATGCATGAATTCTATATATCCTTTATCCCAATAACTTTTTGGTCATTAAAAGTAAAGGAACTAGTACACAAAAAAATTTTGAAGTACCAGTGTTAAACACATTAATGTTAGACATCTAAATCCATGTGCACATAACAGGGGTTGCAACTTGCAAGAGGCAGCAGATGGCAACATTTAGAAGCCTACATCAATCTGTTTACATTTTATATTGTCGGACTTTTGGCGGCCACTTTACTAAGTTTCATAGCACATTTAAGAGGGAAAGGCCTTTGGATCGGTATTGTAGCTGGTTCTGTTCTTCAAACAACACTCCTGATGCTTATTACAAGCGTCGCAAATTGGCAAAAACAGGTTCCTAATTCATTGACCTCAAGATTCACATATAGTGTTTGTTGTTTTTTCTTGAACTTTTTTTCTGGGGATCGTGGCATGATGGATGAATATTTAATAACATTACCGGTAACTAAGGCAAGGGCCAGGGCAATTGAAGATGAGTCCAATTGATAATTTAGCTATGAAACAAAAATACCTCTCTACGTAGTTAGGTTGATTTTTTTTTTCTTTTTTTTTTTTAAATTTTGTTTTGTGTGCAAACTGCATCTTACCTACTAGTTATTAAGAATGGGTGCACATTAACCCCTTGTGTTTACAAAAATGATTGTTTAACCAATTGAGCCTTGCTTTATGAAAGATACCTGACTGACCAAACTCCTATTAGTCTCAAATTGTGTAATTAAAATAGAGAATTAAGACCCCCCTTTTTTTTAGGGTTTTTTAACTCTATACTTTACGTATAAGACAACGGTATATTTATTACATTTTTTTTATCATTAATTATTTATTAATTTATATAAAAAAATTAACATTAATTTTATATTTATAACACATGGATATTTTTTATTAGACAATTTATAAAATTAATATTAATTTTTAATTTTATTATATGTATTGATAATAAAAAATTACAATAAATACACCAAATAAAGTATAAGGAAGAAAATAGAAGAACCCTTTTTGTTATTAAGATAGATCAATGATTAAAAAGTATTGAGAAGTGAAAAAGAAATTATTTTAAGAGAAATGCCAGCCCTGTATTCTGCACTTTATCGTTGTGGACAATTTTGTTTAATTTTTTTTTTTTTAAATTGCGCTCTAAACCAATGAAGTGCGGAGTGCAGGACACTCGCTCCACGCTGAGTGTTCTTAGCATTTCTCTTATTTTAATGGCATTCGGAGTATCTTACGCACGAGTTGGTGGAGATAAAAAGAATGGAAAAATGAACAGAAAAACGACAAGAAACTTTTGATCGTGAATTGTTTGTTTAGTCTCTGGAATGGAATATCTGTCGCCTTGTGGATTGTCTCTTACTCGAAGGTAAGCAATTCTCAACTTGATTTTTGTTTCTCATATGTAGTCACACGCCAATCCCACGAATATCAACAAGAACCAGAAATATTCTAGGCTTCAGTGCCAGCCCGAGCAGGAAGTAATGCCACTAAAAGCAAATGATTACATGGGAGAAAGCAAGTGTGAAATATGTGCTGAAGAAGAAGAGGACTCTACGCATTTGTTTCTAAGTTGCAAGATTGTTCGGTGGTTGTGGAAGGCCTGTGCAAAGTGGTGGGGGACTAAGGTCACGCTGGAAGTGGATTGTTGGAATACCTTCCAGAAATCCGGAATAGGATCTCTAGAGCCATGCATCAGAGAAGGATGGGATTGCATTTGGAAATCTGTCGTTTGGAATGTGTGGCTGGCTCGAAACCAAAAGATATTCCAAGGCAAAGAGGTTAATCCGGGGAAGCTATTTGAACTCATCCAATTAAGTTTCTTTCTATGGATTAAAGCTAAAAAAGATAAGTTTGCCTTTAATCTATTAGACTGGCTAATTAATCCTGTTGCATGCTTGAAAGACAACCATGGAAAAGTAAAGGCACCAAAAGGCTAGTTTGAAAGAGAGGATTTATTTTGTATGGTTTTTGACTAGCGTATAATGGGCTGAACAATGTTTTAAGGGTTGAGTACCCTTGTACTCATTTCAATATAATTTGATTT